GAATTTTTTTCTTAGAATTTTATGAACTTGGTAACCCTGAACTCCAGGCATGGAGATGTATGCTTAAAAATCGTTATTAAAACAACAGATTTGTAAAACAATAGTAATAATGTTTTTATCTTCTGTAAAATTTGAGTGCCGAAAGATAGGCGGTTTTGCAAGGGCATCGACGATATTTATTTTATCCTTATGGTATACACTCAATGAAAAATTAAGAAAAAAACGTAAGGTGCCAAGCTTGCTGCGTAGAAAGTTCCCAAATCTGGATTTGTGGATGAAAATAAAGCCATGTTTTAATTTTCTTGTAGGTAATTTGGGTTTGTATACTTTGCCGCAAAAAGCAGGAACTACTTTCTAAGACTGGACAATGGATGAACAAGGGTCAACAACAAGATAGCTTCCTGCGACGCATTGAGCCTGATGGCAGTAGTGTAAGTGAAAAAGCTTTTACTACCATCCATTCAAAAATCCTTTTTAACCATTATATGTATTTATATGACTACTTATATATTTATATATTTTTATATAACTTCATAGGACATTTCGCAACAGGCCATTGTCGACCCGCATGACACGCTCGACAAGCGCCCGAAATTAGAACGAACGCGCAGTGCCGCTGAAAAAGAGAACCTGCCAATGCAACGGACCGGCAGCGTGCTCCGCCGCCAATACTCACAACAGGAAGTGCCTACAAATCGGCGCATGTCGGCTTCCGATAGTGGTGTGGACGTCAGCCCAGGACAGCAACGTCAACGGCCCGTGAATCAGCAGCAGCAGATGCAACAGCACTACGGAACACAAGGCGGCCAACAATTTAGTGCAGGTCAGCGTCCATACCCGGAAGATGATCCGCGTTATTATCAGGTAGATAGCGGTGGTTTTTTTCAGCATTTAATTTTATTAAATAATATTTATCTTTTTTTCTGCTTCTAGGGTGAGCTGGATGGTTTGATGCGACAACATCCGCATCTTGCGCATCCTAGCCAGCTGCAGAAGCAACAGCAGCAACAACAACAAAGCTATCTGCAACAACCACAACAACAACCACTTGGACAGCAAGCGCACTATCAGCATCAACAACAAAAGCAACAGCCGCAACAACAACAGCAACCACAACACCATGGGCCACAATCACGCGCGTTGCCACCACATCAGCAACATATGCAACAGCAGCAACACCCACAACAACATCAGCCGCAGCCGCTGCGTGCCCAAACGCAGCCACACCAGCAACTGCCGACGCCAACATCCGCCAGTATGGCGCAGCAACAACATCCACATCAGCAGCACCAGCAGCATGCAGCTCAGCAGCCACAACCACATCAACAACAACAAAGGCTTCCCCATCAACACTCCTACAATCCACAAACTGCACAGTTACCCGCACCCCCAATGGGAGGGGGGTCTTATCAGAAGCCAGCACCATTGTCGCGAAATCTAACCATCAGTGGAGGCCATGCCATGGATACTGCCACTTATCCGCAGCCACAACAGCGGCGGCAACCGATGGTCGGCGGTCAGTACGGTCCGCCGCAGCAACGTTCCTTTAGCAGCTCCGAAGAAGAGATCCAAGCGCATATGCTGGCGCCCCAGTCAGCCGAATACGATTACGACGGTGAGTCTGCTCGTTTTGTCCAATTCTTTTTACTAACTTACCCTCTACAAAACACACTCTTGAACATTTTTTTTTACATTTGTGGCTAATTACGTTCTTTGCTCGCACACACTTAATTTAAGTATTTAAATATTGTGGAATACACACACACTCACTTGCTTTTACTAATAATATCAACAAAAAATTTCAACATAGCAACTCCGTGTGCCATTTTAGCCAAACATAATCATTTGAAACACATTGCGGTACTAATGTACGTATGTACATCCGATATTGGAATGTTTAAAATCGATTGAAGATTATTCCGATAATTCGCATACGTCTCATTGGTTTGTTGTCTCTTTCGCTATGCTTTACTTATTTGATTTATTTATTTACTTATTGTTGTTTTCCTTTTTTTTTAATGGGGAATTCAATTTCAAAAAGGATCTGTTAAAAACAGAAACACCTGAACAATTCTATACCAAATTTAATTTAAAATTTTGTACATCACCTTATTTATACTCATGCTTATGTTATTAAATATGTATATATATTTATGAATAGGTATGTTACATGCAAATTGATATTTATTTAGGTTTAACTAATTCAGCAAAATACTGCATTACTCACAACTTCATGGTTATGAGGTTATCTGATTAAAGATTACTTATTTTCCAGCATATTTTTATTATTGAATCAAAATTATAAACCCTATAACCAAGTAGATGTGAACACTTATAATAAATTTGGAATTTTTGAAAATCAAAATATTTCAGTACCTACTTACTAGGGCTGTGCGATTAATTGATTACTCAAAATTTTAATTAATCACAAAGTAAATAGCTCAATTAATCGATTAATTGGATATTATGATTACTCAAAAGTTCACTTACTTGAGTCATCAAGATTTTTGATTAACCAAAAAAAATAATATTTGAGTAATTTGCTTTATGATTAATCAACATTTCGAGTAAAATGAGTAATCGACATTTCAACTCTTTACATATGTATAAAGTAGTTAAAATTCCTTGATACTTTGAAAACAACGTTTCTGTTTTCAAAAATTAAAACGAAAAATTTTTTTCATATACAGAATGTATAAAATAAAATAAGCATTTTCCAAAGGAAACTCTTTTAACGAGCAAAACTATTTTTTTTTTTCGAGTAATCATATTTCAAGTAACTCGATTAAACATCGTTTTGAGTAATCAAAATCTTGATTACTCGAGTAATTGATTAACCGAATAATTGATTAACCAACTTGCTCGAGTAATCAAATAATCGCACAGCCCAGCTATTTACATATTTTATATAGATATGTACATGATAAAAACATTACAAGGTAAAATCATTGAGAGGCAGTCTGACGTTTGCCAACAATATAATTTTAAAATTCGAGCTCAGGCTCACACACACATTCTCATTTTTAATCTCAAACAACAACAATTGTGAACAATTTCATTTTTTTATTTTCAATTTTATATGATTTTAAAATGTTTGCAAACGTCAGAAAAAAATCATGGCCGACGAATTGAGAGAATGGTTTTACCTTCTAATGTTTTTATCATGGATATGTACGTACATACATTTATAAATATGAGTATAAATATTAATACTTATCGGTACTTGTTATGACAGCGTAGGTTTATCATAGATAATTTTATTTAAGTTTTGGGATACGATATTCTATTTTTATAATACGTAAGTCAGTAATATATGTACAATTTTTAATATGCCTGAAAGCAAACGACTTCTCAAAAATTCTATCCGACTATCGCATATAGGGGTATTAAAATCACTCAAAAGCCAGAATTGTCCACTTTGATATACACAGGTATCTTTAAACAACATAACATAGATAGATAGCCAATATATCAAAGAACAACTACTTTTAAACTATAAGTCTCCACCACTACTTGATCTATGGCGTACATGAATGGGAACCCAGCCTTTATTGTGATAATTTTGGTTAGGTCTCTGCGCTATTAATAGTTGCATTAATTTCTTTCGCTTTTAACCGACTTCACAAAAAGGAATATTTTTATTTTATTTTTTTATGTACGTTACCGCATAACTTTGGACCACGCTAGCCGATTTCTATAATTCTTTTTTAGAGGAAAGGTGTTACCTCAACAGGTGGTCCCATACTAATTTGGTTTATATCCGATCATTTGATCATAAAGAAATTAACTATAATCTTAAATTTTTGTATGATAATGGAAGTCCGTTTGTTTTTTGCTTAAAAATTACTTGCTTATATTTATTATGGCCCAATCTTGATATGTTATTCTATTAGACATTACATTAACCTTTAGACTGACTGACCTACAAAGATTGTAGGCTTTGTAATAATTTTTACCGCAAAATCTAGTTATTAACATCGACACTGGATTGAAGCAGTGCAGTTATTAGATATGAACTGGCGATACTTAAAAGAAAGTTGTCAAATAATATTAACTTCCACTCGGCTTATAATCTTGAGCAATACTAGCAAATTTATTTTTTCCTGAATCTGCCGTCAAATCAATCGAGTGTTGCCATTGACGCAATTTTCGGTAAAATTGTGTTAAATTATAACACCCAAATTCACTTCAAATAAAGAAAACATTAACCGCTTTATAAATCTAAAATTTGTATAAAAATGTCACTTTATAGAGCTCTTAAAACCTATTTTATTTTTTATGAATAAGGCCATAAGATTGTTAAACAAGCTATTTTTAAGTAAAAGAAAAAACCGACTTCAATTCTCATATACAAATTTAAGATTATCGTTAATTTGTTAATTTCTTCATGATGCAATGGTCGGATTTAAACCAAATTAGTATGGGACCACCTATGAGGTAATATACCTTTCCCCTAAACCAGTGGTCGGCATACTAACACATTCAAACTACTCATTAAGTGAGGCTGTGTGCGTTAAATGCACTGTGTAAGTGTGAAACACACATATGCTAAGAGCAGTGTTGCCACAAAATTTTTTATTTTTTACCAAAATCCTCGGAAAAAGTTACCAAATTCAACAAAAAATTACCAAACTTATTTTATGTGCAGAACTGTACAAACATACATATCGAGCCCTAAGCGCCATAATAACGTAACCGACATTTTTTTACTTTTCTTTTTGGTGCGGAAATGTTCCTAGAGCATAAAAAAGAAAATTTTGACAAAAATTTAGCTTACGTTATTTTGGCAGTTAGGGCTCGATATATATGTATATCCAAAGATACCAAGCTTTTCAGGCAATCAGCGCTCCATTAACCTAAAATTTTTACGAAAGTTTGTTGAATTTTTTTAAATATTGAACAAAGTTTGAATTTGTTAGAGCTCTGTTAAAGAAAGAAAAATATTTTTATAAAAAATAACCAAAATTAAGTTACTAAAAAAATAATATGTTAAAACTTGTCAAAATATGGTACGGCTATAATTTTTTCGACCACTGTATGTAAACAAGTGACAAGAAAATATATCAAAAATTCAACGCTTGAAGGAAAGCATTCGACTCACACATAGACAGAGTGAAGCCCCGCTGAATGCCGTAGCTTTCTGAACGAGAACATACGTATTGTAATTGAAAAGCTGACGAACTGACAGGGAAAGGTAGGACCACCCAAAACCTTCCAAGAAAGGACACGGTGGATATACTTAGCAAAAGCCACTTTCAAGCAGTTTGTTAAAGAACACACCATTCTAGTAGCCAAGGAATGCTGGAACAACTTTCGCCTTGCCAAACTTCCAGGATTACCTGGTATTTCTATTAAAGGGAACGCTTACGGCCCACTTACTAATGTGGAAGCAGAACCAATATTGACCTATTTGACATGTAAACCGAATTGAAAAAGTTACCAAATTGAAAAATAAATTACCAAATTACCAAACTTGATAAATAAAGAAAAAAATTACCAATTTTGGTTAAAAATTACCCAAGCGGCAACGCTGGCTAAGAGAGCGCTCAGTGAGCTACGGCCTGCCGACCTCTGCTTTAAACAAAGAATTATAGAAATCGGTTAACGTGGTCCAAAGCGGTAACATACATAAAAAAACAAAAACATAAAAACACATATTCCGACGAATTGATAACTTTATCCTTTTTCGAAGTGGGTTAAGAAAATATAAAAATACTTGTATTAGTTATTTTCCAGATGTGAATCACGCAGGTCAACAAAATTTAAACAATGTTTTGTTGACTAATATATTACAGTTAAGAGTTTTCTTGCAGAATCCGAATCTGACTGTAAAGATATTGAATTGGCTCTAGTTTTCGAGGAACTTAAATTTAAAGATGTCGAAAAACTCGTTTTTGGTAATTTTTGAACCTCTGTAAAACAACAAATTGAAGCAATATACCCGTCTGTGTGGAAGGATAAGAAAGCTAAAACCCTGCTGTTTGATACTGAAAATCAAAATATTATGCTGCGAACACTTTAAGCTATTGAGAACAGTTTTTTATTATTGTAGTTTTCCTGTACCAATCTTTGAAGTACAAGTCGAGGTTTCATCGATTAATCGCCAAATACCTATGAACACTGACTCCAGCTACGGTTGCCAGACGTACTGATTTTATCAGTACAGTACTGATTTTTCAACTTTCGTATTGATTTTATTCATTCCTTCAATCAGTACGCTAATGTCCTGATTTTTTAAAATTTGTACTGATTTTTCAATTCTGAGCAATCAATTTGTAATAGAGTTCTTCCCACCGAGCTTGGTACACGGTAACTCGGTGATCGGTAATTTTTGCCCATGTATTTTGTTTGTGTAATATTATTTTACACAAACAAAATACTTTACGATTTGCTTAAGATTTTTACATAACGTTGCAACTTTCTTAAAATT